GTTTGTCCTTAATTGCAACAAATCATTAGGGAAATAATTCAGAGAGATTTTTTTGTAGTTTACCCATCTTGTTATTAATATGCATCAACTTTCAATTTCAGTAATCCTAAAAAAAGATGGCCTCCTAACAAATTAGTCATGAATTTCTTTATTAACCACTAACTTTAGAATAAATAAACTTCAAAATTTATGAATGAAAAAATGAAACTAAAAGAATCACTAAGTAAGACAACTTAAGACCTAAGAAAGACAAATTCTTCTACGAAAGTGTTGTGTCTGTGCCTGAAATCGTGTTTGGACATTTACACTCTTACGTACATGCTCGACACTTTAAGGTCGTCTCCGTTATTTAAAAATAAATTTTATTATTTCGGACACTTGGTCAATACACGTTGGATACTTGGTCGATACATTTAGAATATTTGGTCAATGCATTCCGGACATTTGACCAACACATCCTACATTTTTTAAGTTGTATAAAATTCATGACAGTTTTGAAAATGCGATCACAAAAAGTGTTCAATTTTTCAAAAAACAAAAATATAATTATAATGACAAAATATTAATATCATATACAATCTATTCGAAGAGTTATCTTCCCTAACTCGTGTAACTTTATTATATAATTTATAAATTAATTAAAATTTTATGATTATCTCATTTAATAGATATATAAATGAACATTTATATTAGTTATGTTCACGCACATGTTTGTGTCTTACTTTTAAAAAATATGATGTGTTTGATATATTCATGTCTTATTATGTCTGTATGCTTCTTAGCTTGGAATGCTGGGATTTGATGGAATTTGGAATCAAAAATGGAATTCCTCTTGTTTGGAAAAATGGAATTGGATTTCATGAGATTTGAAATTCCAAACTTTAGTGTTTTCAAATCCCAAAGAAAAATGATGGAATTTAATAGAATTTGTAAATTAAATTAATTGTATATTTGTAACTTTACCAAATTGCCCTTGATTTTAATGAACACGAGATTACAATCCTAATTATTAAGGGAAAATTATATATGTATAAAAAATTTATAATTAAATTTGTGGTTATTTCAAAATGAAATTTCATTTTAGGAAAATGATTTGAAGGTCTATTGGTTAAATCCAATCCCATTCTTTTTTGGGTTAAGTGCAAAAAAACTCATGGACTATCCATATAGTGCAAAAAAGTCCATGTGCGGTATAAAACACCTTTCTACTTTTAATTTGGTGCAAATACCCTTATGTCTACATAAAAAGACTATAATACCCTTTTGCCATTAAAATGAAATAATATAAAAAATATAAAGGAAAGTAAAATTACCAATTTAGTTATATACAATCGCCCCACTCCACAATCCTACTCATTATATGCGCCATCCTTGACTGGGCACGATGGACAGCGTCATCCATACCCTTTTTATTAGTTGCCATCATTGACGCTGTAACGACCCAAACCCATAGGTCCGAATCGTTAGCCGGGTCCTTACCCAAATCCAAGGTCAACTAAAGATAATATCGTCTTTTACTAAGCTTATAGGTTGTACTTTGATCATTCAATAGTCCACAGTGCTTATAACACAACTTAGAAGGAAAAGTCAAAGGTGCAAATCAAGGGGGAAGGGTCAGCTGGCTGAAGCCACATGATCGGTCGGCTGATGGAGATGATCAGCCGGCCGAAACGATTGTCCAAATTACATGCTCTTGGGACTTTGCCAAAATATTTTATCAGCCGACTGCAAAGGGGGTTCGGCTAGCTGATGGGGGAGGTTCGGTCGGCTGATGGTGATAATCAGTCGGCCTAAACAAGGTTTCTCAAGTCTCAACTCACTAAAATGCCAAAATAAACACTGTCAGCCGGCTGATAGTCCTTGTTAACTGGCCGACAGGCCCTAGAAAGCTGCTAGCTGCAGCAGGTAACACCAAAAGGACTAGGCTCGTTATGAGTTTACCTGCACAAGACCTGCTACGCAACCAAATCTTGAAATTCACGGTAAAAAAATATACAACATCACACAGGTATAAACATTAATAGTTTCTCAAAATATATCATAATTCTCACATTCAACATAATTATTTACATTGTCTCAAATTTATAGCAAATTACTGTCATATGTTATAGGTACAGTACAAGATCACGGTTTACAAAATGAATACACTTTTCTAAGGATTGAGACTTTACAAAAGAATGGGTTTCAAGATACAAAAGTTATCAAAAAGGAATTCTATCCCCCTTCAAGCTTGTGTTGGATTATCATCCGTCACCTCCTTTCTGTGACCTGAAAAATGTTGATATAAAGGGGTGAGCACCATGGTTCAGTATGAGGTGCCTATATAAACACATCTTGCAACCCCGTGAATCCAAACAATGAATAGAAATATAGAAAACGGGATCATGTTGTGCTAGGAAAAATTTACAAAAAATTTCAAAACCGAAATAAACAATGTGATGCAATGGAGTGCAATGCCATGCCATGTCACTCCCCATTTTCAAAATCACTTACATTCTTCATTTTTTAAACAGTTAACGTAACCCATCCCTCGGTGACCCCTTGGCGACACGAGAGAAAGATTGACTACTATTCCTGACCCTTGGTAACCCCGCGGCGTCATTTAGGGGCCAGATAGCTCAACCAAGCTGAGGCGATCTTCCTAGTTCCCTTTAGGTTACATTAACATCACGGACCCTCGATACCCCCTTGGCGTCCTCGTTTTCATAAAACCCTTTAATCAAAACTTTATCCCAAAACCCCTTTTTCTTTCAAATCAAATCAACCATTTTCCATACCCAATGATATACATGTATACCTCATGCTTTCTAATGCTATGACAATAAGGGGTTTCCATATTACATAAATTAACATACTTTCACATAGCAAGTTCTAGCAAGATAATGAACACAATAGGCATAAAAAGGTAACACTTATGCATACTTTTATACAAATCAACTAATACATACAATTACATGCTTCATATACACAATTAAGTCATTTAAAGGAAAATTCAACACATTTAAGCATGCTAGACATCAATCACATAGAATTGACTCACAAAGGCACAAGAATACACGGATTAGAGACCCCTACCTCCAAAATGAGAAAATCCCCAATTTGAGCTCAAATTTTCATAATTCCTAGGATTGGCCAAATGATGAATTGCTTAGATCAAAACGTAAATCTCAACGAGCTCTACGATTTGCCGCAAACGGTACTAAAAAATTTCAAAAAATGAAAGAGTAATTGGAGATTAAAGTTTTGATGTGAAAAGAAAAAGGAAAACAAGAAATGAGACGGAGGAAGAGAACTTATGGGAGAGAGGAGGAAAAATGAGGCCAAGATGACTTTTTGGCCACTAAACACATAAGTGTTGGGTCCCACAACTTAAAAAAAAATATCTTCCACCAATATATATATATATATATATATATATATATATATATATATTTACGAATACATATACATATATAATTAATTTCTAACCATACTAAATTTAAGCCACATCAATGATGTAAATATGCACAAAATGATTATGAATGAAATGCAATAGACCCGTGATACCACCCTCGTGCACAACAATTCTAGTAGCGAGTCTTACCCGGGACTTTCTAGTTCGGAAAACAGAAAAATGCCAAAATGGCAACCATTGCATTTCTAGGAGTCTTAAACTCAAAGAAATGCCCCAACTAACTCTCTAACACACCCGGCACACCCCACGGTGTCCGACACGCAAAACGAGAAAAGACGAAAATACCCTCGTAAAAATAGAAAATTCCAGAAAATAGAAAATGGAGAAAACAAAAATACTACAGGCACTGACAATGTCAACGATCGGAAGCGTTGTGAGATAGTTAAGAATATCGACGGTGAGGTCGTTGACGCGGAGGTTGGTGGCTCCACGACGGGAGTGGAGCCGCCACCGATGACTTAATCGGAGAAACAGTCGGCGTAACAGTCGAAGCCTTAACGAGAGCATATCCAAACAGAACAAGTCATATGTCGCTAAGTGTAATTCGTCGCTAATTTGGACGGTGAATATCACAAAGATCACGTCCATGACAACCAAGTCTAAACGGCGGATGTTTTATGTTCGGACTGGTGAAGTTCAAGCTGGAGATAGAGATGAGTGCCATCAAGAGAGGCAGAGTCATCGCACTCCAGTGCCGATGTTTCTTGTGGCGGTTAGGATGCAGCGGCATAAAGCTTTGAAGAAACCATCGGCGACTGCTTGGTCGACGGCGGTTGTTGGTAAGGTGGTTATTCGAAATCATCTTCGCTGCTCGCCAGATCTCCGTGAACAAATTCACCGCTGGTCACCACTTGTGAAGCAAGGTTCAGCCGGTTCTGTCACCACCATCTTATATGACCTCACCGAGCAAGGATCTCAGCCGGGTTTTTCAAACAATCTTCTTCATTGACGGCACCTTAACCGTCGGCAACCATAACCTTTTTACGCTTCACTATGTCGGAACCCATAACCCTTCATAGCCGATCTGCTTGTCTTCTTCATTCGACGCTCTATTGAAGACCAACCTCCATTGAAGACCATGGGTTGGTGATTCACAATAGAAGATCCGATTCTCGTTTGGTAGCTGTTGGTGAAGGTGAAAGACGGCGAGCTCGGGACGTTGCTAATGTACAAGAGGCAAGTGGCTGTTAGAGAAGGGCATAATAGGAAGAGGCACTTTGTGTCAATTTTGACCAAAAAGTGGTATGAGGGGCTTATTTGTACTTTTTAAAATTTTTATGGACTAAAATACTTATTTTCAAAAAGGAGGGACTATTTGTACACAAAACCTATATTATAGGTTTTTTTTTTTTTTTTTTTGGCACTCAACCCTTTTTTTTTTTTCCTTCTCTGTTTTTTTTTTTTTTTTTTTTTTTTTTAATCCAATTCTAATTCCAAATTCCAAAAGGATTTGGTTCCAAACAAAAACCGGAAATACTGCAGCAAAAAACATAAAATATAAAACAAAAAAAATATTACATATATAATAATAATAGGAGTAATAAAATTCTACTGTACTTGTGTGATTTAAAAGCTTGCGGAGATCCTCAGAGAAAAAGCACCGACGTTAGACGATAGACGAAGCGCAGCGATTAGTTGCAGTTGTAGTAGGTTCGTTTTGCTAATCAAAATCGTCAATTCCTATCTAATCAACCCGACTATGGCGACCACAGAGGTAGAGACGATCCGAATGGAAGGAACGCACGGGGAGACTTGTTCAGCGAAGACGATGAAGCAAGGCGAGGGTTTGAGGCAATACTATCTCCAGCACATTCACGATCTGCAACTCCAAGTTCGCCTGTCGACTCACAATCTCAATCGACACGAAGCCCAGCGTAACGACTTCAATTCCAGAGGTATTACCCCCTGACCCTAACCCTAATTTTTCAATTCATTCATTTTTGTGGGAAGTACTTGACATGAATTGCTTTCCTCAGGAAGATTGAAATAAAGTATACTACTTTTTAATATTGAGTTGGTCAACAAATTTTTTTTAATTTATTTTTAAATGTATAATGGACAGTGAGGATGCTTAAGGAAGAATTACAGCTGCTTCAGGAGCCTGGATCATATGTTGGCGAAGTCGTCAAAGTTATGGGCAAATCAAAGGTTTTAGTGAAAGTAAGTGGTACATTAGATGTCTGTGTGTGTTTATTTGAATGAATCTTTTATGTGTCTACAGTCTGAAATTTGGTTATAATACTAAATCATGGATTAGGCTTGTTTATATTATTAGAACATTATAGCTTTTTAATTGCATGCTACTCTAATAACCGGTTGTGCAAAAAAAATGAAGCTTCGGTATTGATTGATGTTCATAAGTCGAAAGCGATTTTGCTAATTTAATAAGTTGGACACTGAAAGTCTAATTCTTTTGGAATCAATTTTCATCAAACAATTAGAGTCCATGCATGCATATAGCCGTTGACATTGAGCATGGGGTCAGATGTAATAGTTTAATATTCATACCTGCTTGTTAGGATCTTTAAACTTCTCTGTGAAAGGAAGTGATTTTTGGAAAAAAGGAAAAGGAATTAACGCCGTAGCAATTTTGGTAAGAGAGGTGAGCCAGGTGCATTTTTCATAAGATTTTGATGGCTATACTTTTGTTGTTGTTTGAATTCTTAAAAATTTCTTAAACATTTTGAACCAACTTTACTTTCATGGTTATAATTGCTTTACCTTAAGCCAATTTTCAAAATATTAATTTCTCTATGCATATAATGTCATGTTTGTAATGCTCAGTTTGTTTCAACTTGGAGCTTTTTCCAGAAAATACTCTATATTTTTAGTATAACTTCCAAAAATTGAAAATTAGCCACCTTTTTCCCATCAAGTCATTTTTCTATAAGATACTCTAGACTCATATGTCCAAACATTAGACATGCATTGCTATAGCCTATATACATGCGTATATACATACATGCATACAAATTCTAATGTATGTGCAGTTATACTCTCGACTCATATGTCCAAACGTTAGACATGCATTGCTGTAGCCTATATACATGCGTATATACATATATGCATACAAATTTTAATGTACGTGCAGTTATACTTATGCGCATGTATGGTTTCATATTCATGATTATGTATAATCTATATGGAATTATGGATGGTTACTTTCATGTTTACTTACATGTGTATGTTAATTATATTCAAAGCTTGATTAAGAAGAGAATGACTTCTTTCATGTCAAGTGTTTTAAATGATACAAGTTTACTAGCATAAAATATTATACAACAAAATGAATTCAGTTTAAGTTTCTAGAAATTTTCAAAAATTAATTCCACTTTCCAAGTGACCTCAACTAACTTTAAATTTTACAATCTAGCTCTTCCACTTCTTGTACAATTTTTTTACTTATGCAATGCCCACATTGGGGATGAACTGATTTTGGATCAGTACCGAATGTATTTCAAAATAATGTGAGACATATCGGACCTGCAGATTTTTGTTTTCGATAACTGAAAATCAGAAAACTGTACAAAAATCTGTTTGCTTAACGATTTCTGGAAACTGTTTTATGAAAACTCAGTTGCAAAAGGGTTGTTTTCAGACAGTTTTCTGTTTTCTAAGTTCTTGAGAACTGCTTTTAGGAAACTGAACCAAGCAGATCCCTAATTGCTCTTGTCTGAATTATAGCAGAGTGTGGTCGAAATCCTTAATTTTTAATTCCATCTCCATCAGTTGATAGAACAGGTTTTTTTCTTTTTTTCAGGTTCACCCCGAAGGAAAATATGTTGTTGATATTGATAAAAGCATTGATATTACTAAGATCACACCATCAACTAGGGTTGCCCTCCGTAATGACAGCTATGTTCTTCATTTGATTTTACCCAGCAAAGTGGATCCTCTGGTCAACCTTATGAAAGTTGAAAAAGTTCCTGATTCTACATATGATATGATTGGTGGGCTAGACCAGCAAATTAAAGAGATAAAGGAGGTCTCTCTCGTGCATGTTTATATATTTTTATATTTATCGTTTTCTTCGAAGTGTAATGTTTATCAGTTTATTTATTTCTTCCTACCTGTTTTTATTATTTAAAGGTCATTGAGCTTCCAATCAAACATCCCGAGTTATTTGAGAGTCTTGGAATAGCTCAACCAAAGGTACTTTCACATTGCTAAGTTATTACAGATGTTCACTCCTTGATTCTGAGGACATTAATATATAACCAGATCCAAATGCTAAGTTTTTTTCCACCTCTTTCTCTCATATTATAGGGAGTCCTGCTTTATGGGCCACCCGGTACTGGGAAAACATTGTTGGCCAGGGCCGTGGCTCATCACACTGATTGTACTTTCATCAGGGTTTCTGGTTCTGAGCTAGTTCAGAAATACATTGGAGAGGGCTCTCGAATGGTTAGAGAACTCTTTGTGATGGCCAGGTTTGTTTTGAATAACTTATATGAAGGCCTCATACATGCATGATTACAACTGCTGATACATCATTTCCATTTTCAGTTTTACATTTACTTTGATTTTGGCTTCTATACATGGAGGCTTCTTCTTTTCATTGGAAAACCAATTCAGGACACGGGAATGACATTAAATGAGGGAATACTTATTGTGATTATTTGATTCATTCATTGCTGAAGTGTGCGCGCACAAATATACATGATGAGACTTATATGTTCAGTCTATTTTGGCCAGTGGCATCATGTAAAAAAAAAAAAAAAATGCAGAGGAAGCCATTTTTGTTTTGGGGATAATATTTTATCAACAAAGATCAATCATAAATTCATAATGTGTCGAATTGCTAAAGTATAGCCCATGCCCACAGAATGAATGAATTGCAAAATGATCAAGCAATTATATGTACTGGTAGCCTATGTTTTTGGTTAATAAGCTGTTGCACCCTAATTATTTTGCTTAGTATCTTACTTGTATGGTTTTGGGCTTTCTTATTGTTCACAGGGAACATGCTCCATCTATCATATTTATGGATGAAATTGACAGTATTGGATCTGCTCGGATGGAATCTGGAAGTGGCAATGGTGACAGTGAAGTTCAGAGGACTATGCTGGAGCTTCTCAACCAGCTAGATGGCTTTGAAGCGTCGAACAAGATCAAGGTAATGCGTTATATCTCCTTAAAATATTGCAGATTGAGCGAAGTGGCAAAACAGTATTATAGTCCTGGATACTGTTCCTTCTGTTTGCTCACTACTGATTATGGTATGTACTGGCACAGGTTCTGATGGCCACGAACCGTATTGATATTCTGGATCAAGCGCTGCTTAGACCCGGACGAATTGACAGGAAGATTGAATTCCCAAATCCTAATGAAGAGGTATGCGCTCTAGTTGCCGAAATATCCTTTCCGTGCTGCACAGGGTGGATGTAAAGTATCAGTGCTTATATACATATATATATATATATATATTCTCAACACCATGTAACCATGTCTGTGACCATCTCAGGCTTGTTATATATAAAAGTATTACTGCACATACGTTAGAATATTTGTTCTTTCACATGAGAATTCTTCTTAAATGATGGTACTTTTCTGATAGCTGCTTTGGTGAATAACCAAGTGATCTGTATATGCTATGATCTGTATACATAATTGATTTGTTAATTATTTCTTTTCAGTCTCGTTTCGATATCTTAAAAATACATTCCAGAAGGATGAATTTAATGCGTGGTATTGATTTGAAGAAGATTGCAGAGAAGATGAATGGTGCATCAGGCGCAGAGCTCAAGGTGTGTTTTACCCCCTATATGAATGTCTTTCGTCTCTTGGCTTTAGATGTATTTTACCTATTCTCTTGTTTACCAGACAAACAAATGGAAGTTTTTTTCTAGTTGTATTCTTTTTTTTTCCTTTCATATTTTAAAGCCATTTGGCAAAGATTTAAAGCATAAATTCTGTTACTTGCTCAGGATTATAATATTGTAACTGGCATATAGGGGTGGGCATGGGGAGAGTGACCCAACTGGCTGTAGTGGCGCGGACCGTCCTTTAAGCATGTTTTGTTTAAAATGATATTCCTATAGGGCTGGATTGGACAAAGATTTTTTGCACCTAATTGATTTTTAGACCAGGCTTAGGTTTTTAAAGTTTTGTCCAATCTGGCCCAGCATAGCTATTATGTAGTTATTTGACAATATATACATATATATAATGTAGCATGTTCACATAATTAACTAAAATATAATAGGTATCATGTATTTCTTTTACTTGGATCTCTCCTCTAGAGTTGGGCTTCGGTTATAGCGTAACCACGACGGCCGGCTTAGGATGACTATTTTGAGAATGAAATCTGGTCAGGCCAGGCTTACTAAAATGGTTTACGAACATATGATGCCGGCCCTGCCCACACCAGCTAATTGCCATATGCGGGGATTCTTTAATCAACAATGTGTTTATAATATATGTATAATATGTTGAAAAACTCTATTTGAAAATCTATTGTAACAGTTATCTGTCCTTAATTTTTGATTGAGATTAAAATAATAATAATAATAATAATAATAATAATCTTCTAAGTACCATTTATTTAATAGTTGAAGCTGTATATATATTTTCTGATGTTTGCACCACTTATGATGTAATAATACACTTTCCCCCAATCTATTTAGAATGAGATGTCATGCTTGTGGAATATGCTTGCTCTTGATGATTGTACACTTATGCTTGCTTGCTTCTGTATATATATATAGGCTGTGTGCACTGAAGCAGGAATGTTTGCTCTGAGGGAAAGGAGGGTTCATGTAACACAGGAAGATTTTGAGATGGCAGTGGCAAAGGTAATGAAGAAGGAGACGGAGAAAAACATGTCCCTGCGGAAGCTGTGGAAGTAAATGCGTTCTTTGTATTCTCATTATTATGTTCCTTAAGCGGACGATACCCAAGGACCGATCCAATTGGTGTCCCACTCTTGGTGAATGAAGTTACATGTGCTGCCAGCTGCCTCTAGATGTAATAGTACTATATCCACTTTTCAATTTTCATTAAATGACACTTCCATATCTTGTCGAAGATGGTTTGAAATGTTCACACTAGCATATTCTGACTGGCAGGATGGTTACCTAGTTTGTGGAATTTTTTTTAAGAACCATTAATATTGGGCATTTAGAAAATCTCGGCGTAACCGAAATCCAACAAATTATCCAAATTCATATTTAATGAACATATCCACCCCAACTGATAAGAAGACTAAGGCTCAGTTTAGTAGAGTGGGTTTGAAGGGAAGGGGAAGGGAAGGTGATGGAGGGTTATAAAAAAATTGTGTTTGGGTAAAGTGAGTGGAGGGAAAGGGAAGGAGAGGGAAGGGTTTGGAGGGTTAACTTGTGCCTCAACTTAGCTTTCCAAAATTGGGAAGAAATGAAGGGAAAGGGAGGGAGAGGCTTGGTGTGTGATTTCAGATGTCAATTTTGCCCTTGATTAGTTGATGTAGCAGTTGCAGAGAGAGAGAGGGACGGCGAATAGGAATTGGAACAGCGGCGATGGAAACTGATATGGGTTTTGATTCTTTGAACAATCTGAAATTGGGTTTTGATTTTTTAAACAATCTGAGTTTTGAAGTTTTGATTCTTTGAACAATCTGAGTTTTTATTTTTTGAATAATCTGGGTTTTGTAGTAGTTTGTAGTTGCAGAGAGAGAGAGAGAGAGAAGTTCAGCAAGTTCGGCTTTGAGATGGAACGAATATATATATCTATAGCTATATATATATATATATATATATATATATATATATATATTTTAAAATATAAAAGGGCATAATAATAAATTTTTAAAAATAATTTTCCTTTCTATCCTTCCTTTTCTTTTCCCAAACATGATTATTATCCTTCTTTTTCTTTTCCTTCCTTAATCAACCAAACACAATACCAAATTAAAATTATTCTTCCCTTCCCTTCCTTTCTCTTTCCTTCATAACTAATGTTATTATTTTCTTTTAAATTCATCCAACCAAACATAGCCTACCAGGTATGACCATGCCAGGGGAGGGACAATGTCTCCATGGGTAGGTTTTTCATTTTTAAATGATTGCAGCTATGATTGACTGCAATGCAGCGCAACTTATGCCATCCTTGTTTGCGTTCACACCTGACCTAGCAATATGTATGTTGACTTATGTTGTTTCTAGAATCCAAATTGTCAAGTTGTCCCACAATACAAGAAAATAGTATATATTACAACCATGCCCTTAAATTAACACCAACGCCAAGTTTAGCATTTTTCTCACGCCATCAGGTACGATTCCTATTCTGAACTTAATCGATAAGAGGTACTAAGGCTTCCTCGTGTGGGACGAACTAAGTTACAAATAATATATATTTTTTTGTAAATTAGTAATGATTAGTAGCAGTTTTCGATTATACGCCAAGTATTAATGAATTTAGTTGGAATTGAACATTTTAATTTTTATGGACAAGGTTGCATTATTAATTAGTACAGTTGTACCTGGCGGACCAGTCGAGGCCATATGGCATCTGACAATGAGTTGAAAATTTGTCATCGGGGGCCGAATATTCAATCTCATCAACACTGGACTACCATCCAATTTATTTGTTTTTTTGGATACAATGATAGAAGTTAAAAAAATTAGATAACATGAAAATATGGATGCAAAATGGATAAACAATAGGTAATAAACATATAAAGTTTTTCTTCATATGCAATTATTGCTTGATTAACGGATAAAACAATGTGCTCCATATAGATATATAATGTAAAGAAACAGTGATAGTAATGGAGTAATGGGTTACAATCATGAATGTGGGTGGGGTAATTAATCCCGCGTTGTGAGTTGGCATTTGACTGGTCAATTTGGAAAATTATATATATGACATCTCCACCTATCCACCCCCGCCAAACTAAGAATCCTAATCCAATTTATTAAGATGACATAACATAACATTAGTGGTTGCAGAGTTGCTAATTTCTGAGTCTATTTCATTGTCCACATGTCTAACATTCATCCACAATGGCTACCATTCATTTTCTTCATCATCTCCCAGCTCCTCAATACCTCTCATGGCGATGTTGGCACCACTGCCCGATACAGTCCACCATATTTACGTAAGTGTGTGTGTGTGTGTATATATATATATACACCAAATGCTACATATACATATATATTACAGCTTATAAGTTGGTGTGATTAGTAGTAATATTGGGTTTGGATATATATGTATAGCGACGGCGTGTTATGGGAATGATCCGTCACAGTTTCCATCGAGCAATTTGTTTGCAGCAGCTGGGGATGGAATATGGGACAATGGGGCAGCTTGTGGGAGACAATACTTGGTGAGATGCATAAGTGCGTCACAACCCGGAACTTGTGTTCCTGACAAAACTATTCAGATTAGGATTGTTGATTACGCTCTCTCCTCACCTTCTCCCCCCTCAGCACGTCCCACCACCATGCTTTTATCTGAAACTGCCTTTGGGACCATTGCAAACTCTTCCGTTCCCTTAATCAACATTGAATTTCAACAGTACGTTATTCTCTCTCTCTCTCTCTACATATATTCATATTCTGCACCAGGCCCTGCGTCCGGTACTTGGTCACTGTTGGGGTTACATTTTGATCCACATAAGAACTTGAATGCCAAATTGGAATTTTGGATCATATATCTTAGTTTAAATTTAATTTTAGCTGATCTCATTTCCAACTTTTTTTTTTTTTTCCCTAGTTCCATGCGTTTTAATTTTTCTATTTTTTATTTATTTATTTTTATTAAATGTGCAATAACTCAAGTGATACAAATCGAGGTTCGAACTTCAGTTAAAGTATAAATTTACTTAACCTTTCTAAAAAAAAAAAAAAACTTTTATTCTCACATTTCTTCTTTGTTGAGATCTCCTAAACAAGGCTATTTTTAGTTGATGGGCGCACATAATATAGGAAGAGATTAGTGTTTGGGAACCTTTTGGTATGCTTAAACCCCTTGTAAGCCCCGTTAATCCTTTCAAATGGTAGTGTTTGGGGAGCTTTGAAAGGCTTTAATTTAAAAGCTCTTTTAAGACCAAGTTATTTCAATTTTTTTTTTTTTTTAATTAAATACGCTTACAATATTGGTTTCTATATGAAATTGAACCCTTCATTCTTCTTTGGAATGCGATGAAGTATCATAAGATTTCACCGTCTACTTGAATTAAAATGTTGAAGTAAATTGTTACCAAACTCTGCTAATTAATTATACGAAGTATCTGTGAGATAAAAGAAAGTAAGAGGCGCTCCCTTGTTTATATTTGACCTGCATAACCAATCATCAACTTTAAATGTATTTTTCAAAAATTTAAAAGCGTTTGCTGATAGAAAGTAAAATTGTGTCTACTATGGTCAATGCAGGTTATGATGTGGGAAGAAGATATTTTAAAACCTTGCTCTGATTGAGGGGGAAATGAAGTAAATTCCAAGCAAGTTTGTTCTTTGTTAACCACCGGCCGGCCCACTGATTGGTTGTATGAAAATTCTCTTGTGATACATATATATATAATATATATAATATGAGTGTTCTTTCCTTTTACGTCAGTGTTATGTCCTAATCACACATGAAGCTTTGTAAGAGGAAGTTTCCTATATGTTTCCTTCCTTGGAAGATTCGGTTTGGACGAGTCATCATTAGGTGGAGATTGTGTTTCATACTAATTAATAGTAAATGATATCAGGATGATTATTTGTCACATTATAGAAAATTATTAGGTCAAATGCAAATTTTTCACGTTAAGCAATATTTCTACATGGTCAATTTACTAGGATTGTTTATAATCAAGTCAATTCACATGTAAGCTTTAAGGTTTTAATTCACAAAATTCAATTCAAATCAATTAATTTATTTTTATTTTTATTTTTTAGAATCGTGGTTACATGAAAATAATCAGGTCAATTTTTTAAAAACTAAAATATTTCATAAACTGACCAAATATCTTAAGAATAAATAATTTATACTTCAAAGATACCATTAAAATACAAAAGGAAGGATGCAAATCTTGATCTTACCAATATATTGATGGTGATGTTTCTCTTCTTATTTGTCATTGTTGTAACTTTTATTTTTGTTTTTATTTCAACAGCACGAGAGGGAGTTTCTCTCTCCCTAACTTTGCTCGATCCACTAAAAATTAAATTATTTGGGTTAAAAATAGTTTGAAATAAATAGATTCGTGTAGCATGCATTTAAATGAGTGATTTAGCTTTAAATTATGCTCTGATTTGAAAATATTCAGGGTAAATTGCACGAATTTCTTATAATTTGTCATAATTATAAAAAATTTTCTTATAATTTAAAAAATTATACGTTTCCTGAAAATGAAATATTGTTACAACATGCATGTAGTCTCAAGTTACCAAATGCATTCTTCTTACATACAAGAGACTCAGTAGGAACGAGAATCTCAGCTGATTAGGATAAGTCGAAGTTTCCCACTTCTGTTTCAACATTCTAAAGAGAGCCAGATGTATACTTGCACCACCATCCACAGTGATGGAGCTCATGAAGAAAAACCTCTCCTCCAAGTGACGACCGTCAAAAGGACTAGCTGACCTGTCTAATTTACTAAAATACCCTCAAATTATCTCTCATCTCTTTCTCCCTCTAACTTCTCTATATAAACTCATTTTTTGGAGAGACTCTGTTGTAGTGTCGTTGGTGCTTGATTATTAGCTCGAGAGAAGTGATCGGGGGTGCTTGAAACAGTGGTCGATGACTCCGGTGTGCAGGTGAAGTGATGTCGAGGTCACCGGAGAAGTTGTTTGGGTTGATTGATTTCAGTGCCGTTGCGATGATCTCTGACGAGCTGTTCGGATTCGTTACCGTGTGTCTTAACGTGGTTGAGAAGGACACTGATGGAGCCAACAACGAGTTTTTGGCGGGGAGGAAGACCTTGGTGATGATGATGCACCCAAAAAACACATAAGAAAAAGGAAAGAGATCATAGAGAATTTTATGTTACTGCCATGGGTTTTTACTTTTTGGGAAAGTGAATTATCAGCATATATGTATGTGTGTGTGGAGCCGTGTGCGTATGTTTGGTCAACATAGTCGCTCAATGGTTTATGATGACTTCTATATATGGCGGCAGTTGGAACTCTAAATGATCGACGGTTAAAAAGGGAGGTTTGTGCAGTTTAATTTTATTATAAGATAAGTTTTTGTAATTATGATAAATTATAAGGGATATTCATACGATTAATTCAGTATTTATGCACATGCAAGAATTTAGAGGGGGTAACATTAAACAATGTCAAGATATTTTTTATTTTTTTTACCAAAATAATAAGTGAAAAAACTTAAATTAGTATTGATTGATATTTTTTTTTTCTAAAAAATTCTAATAATAATAATGAAATGAAAATTCAAACTTGAACACTTTGACTACAAGGACCACATGCCCTACTCTGTGTATCACACCACACCCTTTACTCGACATATTTGTAATTGTTATGGACTATCTTTTGATATATGAAAGAAGTTGCGACACAGTTATTTGCAAAGAAAATTTATGAAAGTAGATTTCCGAAAAAAAGTCTGTAGATGGCCACAAGTCAACTAATAAAACAAAAGGCTGAGAGGTCAACAGCAAGATAATACAAAGTTATTACGCAAATCATTATCATATGCATACAAGGCTTGCTTACTCATAAGTGAGCAGGAGATTCGGTTAACGTAGTTTAATCATAAATAAATAAATAATTTAAGATAAAGTATAAAAAATTACTCTCAATTTATAAAATTTTTCAATAAATTCTTTTTATTTATTTTTTTATCAAAGAACTCCTTTCGATTTGTAATTTTTTTAATAAATTTTCCTTATTTAATTTTCTACCAAAAAATCATCCTCAATCATCTAAAGAGGGTAAAAGAGTTGATATTTGAACAAAAATGCCTTTTATTTAAATCTTAATTCTCCCGAATTTTAAAATTTTCGTACATTTAAAAATTATAAATAATATATGCACGGAAAGCTTATGAAATAAGGATTTCAGAAATATAATGTTTGTATAACAAACCTTCATAACCAGAGAGAAATATACTATCTAAAAATCTAAGTTAACAATTTTATTTTATTTTTATTAAATACTTGAGATATTTGTAAGAAAATTTTCAGAATTATTCATTTACATATGGAGCCGAATATATAAAAAATTTAACCCCAATAGAGATCGATTTCATAAGATATCATATTTTGCGTCAAAGTATTTTCATTCTTTTATAAACTTACCATTTAAAAAATAAATAAAAATGAATATTCGGTCTCTCGGCTAATTTTTTCTATATGTTATATTTCATATGAAAATGAATAATTCTGAAAATTTTCTTACAAATAACCTGAGTATTTTATAAAAAATAAAATGTAGATTTTTAGATTATCTATTTCTCTCTGGTTATGAAGTATTGTTAAACAAATCTTATATTTCTAGAATCCTTGTTTTATAAGTTTTTCGTGCATATACTATTTTCAATATTTGGATGTACGGTTTGTGATATATGAATTTTTGAAGTTCGGAAAAATTAAGATTTAAATAAAATGACATTTTGATCAAAATATCAACTCTTTTACCCCATTAGATAGTTGAAGGGTGGTTCTTTGATAAAAAATTAGACAATGGAGATTTATTGGAAAGGGTTACAAGTCGAGAGGAGTTCTTTTTCCCATGGTTTACTGAAATAGGCAACAAGTCGAAGGGGTTTTCAGTACTCTGCCCAATAATTTATAATTATAAAATAAAAAAAAGTGATAAAAAAAAAGGTTAATAATTTTTTTGGGAATAAATTCAGTCAGTGGTTTCTTTATTTATCACTTTCCCGATTTTGTAATTACGAATTATTTGTATATTTATGATTAGACAACCCTACCCATCGATGAATAGGCAAATCTTATCCTTAAATACTTGGGGTATTGCTACCCAGGCCATCTCAAGCCTTCTCTAGAGGTATTGAAGTGTTTTTCAAAGTATTTATTCTAGTACTAGAACTATTTTTATTATTATTATTATTATTTAATTTGGCATTGGCAAGAAACTCACACACCTATTTTACTCATTTGAAAATTCGAACCATCATCATCCACTTTGAGAGGTACTAATTTTTAATTCTAAACTTTAAAATATATTACATATTTATTTTATATTGTTGAAATTGTGTTGAGATATAAAACAAATTTTTGAAAAATTAAAACAAATTTATTGAAAAAATTTACATTAGAGGATCTGAACTAAAGAATTCCAACTGCAACAATGATTATATTAAAATATGCCTTCTACCTCTAATATAACAAACCTTGATACAAACCTTGATTTGTTTGGGATTTTGGGTAACATTCATTTTAAATCCATTCAATAGCAAGCCAATTAATTACTTTTTTCAGTTTTTATAAAGAAATCAAGGACTATATGCTATTCGTATTATGTTTAATGTGCAGGCCAAACAAATCAAATTAATCAGATATGTTATCCTACAACAACTGTGGACGCTTAAATTTTTCATCGCTCTCACTCCACTTTTCACATGAGCCCAAGGTCGTCTTCAAGCAAAGCTCAAACAAAAACTCAAAACTGCGGCCCATAAATATTATGGTTTTTAGACAAATCGGATCCAGTTCAATTACCCAAGTTTTTCAGGCCATGTTTGTAAGAGAATCTCGCTCGGATTCAGATATTGCCCAAAAAAAACCAACCAAATAAGAGACTTCCGTTGCCCAGACATTCCTTGATGAAACTTTCGACTCATCCCTTCGACCAATCTCTCTCTAAAAACTCCAGGTATCGAGATATATATATATATATATTTGTTATATATCATATATGATCTTCTCACTGTATAGATATTTGTTAATTTTGATTTAAAGTAATTCTAATTCATTGTTAGTTGATTGTTAATGCATGATCATCTTGTGCTGTGAACATCTCTAGGGTTTTTATTCGGTCGTTGATTCTTCACAGCTGCACGGTTGAGATAATTTCTCTACGCTTTTGGAGATTTAACTCAGAGATTGCCCCCAATGGAAGGTGAATTAGAGCTAGAGCCATCAGGTGCTCCAAACCCTTGTGATACCGATCCTCTGCTTGACGACCACCAACAGGATGCACCGTCCTCATCGTCGTCCGAATCCAACGAGATAAGGCATGAGGATGTTGAAGCTGGTTTGCTCCCTGCTTGTCGCATATGCCTCGAATGCGACGGCGAGGGAGGTGAAACGTTGTTTACATTCAATCTCATTGATTTTTTCTTGCCTTCGGTGAATTATAAGAATTCTGAAAAATAAATAAATAAATAAATTTGATTAAATGGATTTATTTATTTATTTATTGTGTAATCCTTGATATTATGGTAGGCAATTGCAGCATATGACGATCCATACATTTCTAAGGATTTATGCAGTGAAACCTTTCTATGTATTATATAGCAGACAATAGCATATTGATGAATGAAGACCTGTTTTATGACATTATAGCGTATTAGAAGGTTTATAACGATGTCATCTAGAAATCAATAGTTCAGACGCGGATTGACACGGATACTAGTTTGCTTATTCGTCTTAATCTTGTAATGTGCAAACTTTAAACTACAACTTGATGCTTGTTGGATTAGTAAAATTTTGAATTTCTCAGTATTGCCAGGATTGTTACCCTCTCCCACCCTCATGTGGATAGGGAAAATTTCTTATAGTTTTTTTTTTTTCTTTTTCTTTCCTCTCTTTCTTCTTTTCTGTTGTAAAATTGAGTTGTTATATTCTTAGTGTTGTTACTTGTGCATATTATCTGTTCCTTTGGCCTAAAGGTTGCTGTTCTCTTTTACAGATGATGAATTGATATCTCCTTGCATGTGCAAAGGCACCCAGCAGTTTGTGCATCGTTCATGCCTTGATCACTGGCGATCAGTTAAGGCAAGTATTATTGCTTTTGCTTTTAAAAGCATATTTGAATACAAATGCTTAAAAAGTTAAATAAAATTTTATGGTCGTTTAGTATTATTTTTTTTTTAATTTTTTGTCCTTTTGCTCTAATAGGAAGGATTTGCCTTTTCACATTGCACAACTTGCAAAGCTCAATATCATCTTCGAGTTGAAGAGTTTGAGGACAACACTTGGCGTAAAATAAAGTTCAGACTTTTTGTGGCCAGAGATGTTTTTCTTGTATTTTTGGCTGTACAGACTGTGAGTTGCATTTAATTTGTCTTGTAATTTTGTGGCTTAAGATGTTTTTCTTGTATTTTTGTGGCCATAGATCTTTGGAGTAATGGGCTCTTAAAATTTGAAATTCCTTTCCTGCCTTATTATCTTATATCATCTGTCAAAGGAATGAAGAACAGAATGTTCTGCATTTTGGTAACATAGGCCACACGCGTTATTTCTTTTTCTAAATACAGACCCCATTCACTGTCCCTACTGCAGGAAAACTTATCTGAAAGGGCACCTCTTTTTTGCAGGCAATCGCTGCAATGGGTGGCTTTGCATACCTTATGGACAAGGATGGAGCCTTCAGAAATTCATTTAATGACAGCTGGGATCGTATATTGTCAAAGCATCCTATACCATTCTACTATTGTATAGGTAAGCATTGAGACAATTTTTTAATATTTAATTTGGCCCAAAAGTTCCAGTGGTTGACTAATCTATCAATTGGACAAATTGCAAATTATGAAGATTTGATTGATCTTTTATTATTAGCATTATGTAACCATTATTTAAGGCCGGATATAAAGAGATTTTAAGGAAATAGTTGAGCCTTGTGATACATAGTTGGCATCCTAAGTGACAGCTTGGTGGTTCTTTAGATTGTTGATAGGATTTTCCTTTCTGTGAAATTAGTATTCTATTATCTGTTTAGACTGTTTTTTTTATTTTTTGATAAAAGGTAAATAATATTATCTGTTTGTTACTGTGAAAATTTTTTTGCATTGTAGGTTTAAAGAAATGAGTAGGGTCCTATTAATATAACCTTGTGTCTGTTGTTGACGGTTTTTCAATAGGCTCTAAAGTAGTACCAGTAAGAAACTGAAAACTGTGTTCAATATATTAGAGTGTTCCATTAACTTCTTTAGACAACTACTCCCTTTAATAATAACTAGGAGAGAATGAGATTTTCTTATCCAGAATTTTGGGATTAACTAATCAGAATCAGACTGATAATTTTAATTTATATAGCATATTTCCTGGTGAAAATAAAAAAAAATAAAAAAAAAAAGCTAAGATGAACCTGCTAATAATAATAATAACTAAAAAAATATAGATAGAAATTTACATAAACATTTTTATTAGAAAAAAGAAAAAATTGAAGAAATCACCCAATGATTCAATGAATTTTCAGTTACGAAATAAGACAACTGTCGGTTCACAATCTGTAAAGAAAAAATAAATTAAAAGCTCAAATACAATTGAACAAATCTAAGTAAACTCTTTCTGGCAACACGACATAAGGATGATATCTAGCAATGGAACTTGGCAGCATTCTCCATCAATCACGATGGTGATTGTGTTACGGCTTGTGGAGGTGGTGAGAGCACGAGATTGGAAAGACTGAGCTGCTGAGAGAGTAGGAACATTAACAAACCTTGACTAGCTAATATAGGTGATGTCCACTAGGGTGCTTAAATGACACAAATGTGTACAAGGGATGGGGCTGGTTCACCTATCCCAACCAAGCCCCATCCCAAACACTGTCAGATGTATGTATTCCTCCCCAATCCTGTCCCTAGACTCATCCAAACAGGGGCAGTATCAGTATGGTGCGAGTTAATTGAAAAAATGGATCGATCATGTATCATTGCCCTACCTTTACACTGGTGGAACTAGACGTATTCAATACTAAATTCCTTGGGAGAATCACTTATCTTTCAAAACTATGTTTTTTGTGGATTGTAAAGTTGTAAACACAATTTGTTCAGGCAACATTGTTCATCAGCAATCCTGCTGCTATTCTTCTTCTATTTAACTGGGATTTAAATGCCCTGTTTATCATCAAAAGGAGGTAGAAAAGCTATTTTGGAGATTTGACTGCTTTTTGAGCTGTGTTGTTTTCTTATATAAATTAGATTAAAATAAAAGGAAAAGGAAGTTAGAAGAAAGACATTTGTTTTGTATCATGACCTTGCTACTTTTGCCACAAGTAAATAGTTGAAGAGAGAATATTGATTTTTTACTTATCATGTATTCTTTGGGTTGACCATCTACATAACACTACCAGGTGTACTGGCATTCCTGGTGCTGCTTGGGTTCTTGGGACTCATACTACATTGCTCCTCTCTTAATAATAATGATCCACGCATGGCTGGGTGCCAGAACTGCTGTTATGGATGGGGCGTATTGGATTGTTTTCCTGCATCAATGGAAGCCTGCTTTGCATTGGTTATCGTCTTTGTTGTTATCTTTGCTATTCTTGGTATTGCCTATGGTTTCCTTGCTGCTACTATGGCCATCCAAAGGATCTGGCAAAGACATTACCACATCCTTACAAAGAGGGAACTCACAAAGGTACACATTTTAATACTAGATACTTTTAATTTGATGATAATGTCCATGTAAAGAAGTCAACTAAACGCAATGAAATGATAAATACTAGTCTATCTAATCCAGAATTGACGGTGGTTAGATGATATACTCTGTTACAATACATTGATGGTAGCAGCAAACTAAATTTTTTATCCGATGTTGACCAAACAACCCACCCTGAATGTTGCAGGCATGAATTCTCATTTTTGAATGCCAAAATTAATGCTTTCCTTTTATTGTGTCATTACCATAAGTATGGGCCTAACTTCATGGTAATACATTTCCCCCACCTAGTTCCGTTTCAGTTTACTGGTATATAACTTTCTATTCTGAAATGTCGCAGGATAAAAGTATGTTTCTAATTGTTCTGAAATGTTTCAGGAGTACATAGTGGAGGATCTCTGTGGCAGTTACACCCCTCCAAAACTGGATCCAGAACATGAAGAACGCCTGAAAATGCTTAAGCTTTTGTGATGAGGGTTGAAAAAGCTTTTGAGTTATAAGATGTAAAAGCTACAATGTGTATTTAATTTCTTAGCAAGTTTTTTTTTTTTTTTTTTTTTTTTTTGAATCAGAAAAAAAATGAAAATGGTTTCATGTCTTTCTAAACGTTTTTACCAGTGTGTGAACCTTGCCTAGCAAAATTGGCGACAAAATTTTGAAAGCAAGGGTAAATAACATGATGTGCAGTTAAACACACACTCATATCCTCATTTGCTTTCTGTAAATGTATTCTTGCTTGGTTATTTCCCCCACAATCTTGGTCCGAAGGCTCCCTTGTTGGATGATATATTTTCATTGGTTGGGTTTTTTTTTTTGCCCTTTTTTCCCGGCATAGAATATGCCTTTTGTAAGTGGGAATTAGATGACAACCAATTTAAAATTTAAATTAATATGATATTTGATTCTGATTTCAAAGTACAAATTCCAATCCTCCAAATGTAGAGGTATGAGTGTGTAAATTTGCTTAATCTTCAAAAGAAAAGAAAAATGTGATATGTGTTTTTTTACCAAGAAATATATGCAAATGACCAAGGCCATGTATTTATATAACCTGCTTCCGTTTTACCCTTTTGAGTTACGACGGTGCCCTTTGTAGTCAAACCAACTTGTGTGCAAGAATGCTTATTAAGATGAAATTGAGAAGTCTAAATACACGGTATAGTGTATCTAAGTCCTAACTACCCTTCGGACGTTGAAGCATTTTTTTCGTAGTTAAGGTTTCATGGAAATGTGATGTCCATTGTCCAGCAACCTTCAGCATGCAACTCCAATAACTAATCCATTTGTTCCCTATAGATTTAAAGGTATATATATATATATATGTCTATATATACTTCCTTTAAACAAAAAGGCAAGGTCAGTTACAACTGTAAGTCTATAAAAGAGACGCACATGCTTGGTCGAGTAATTTAGAAAGAAATTGAAGAGTTGTCATGCGTGCTTGAAATCGTTTCCATACCTTAGGACCAACCGGCCAATTGAGCGACTCTATCAATCGGTCACCCACTAGACATTGGCAATCTCAGGGCCTGTCTGCGTGATATCCGATGACAGTTTTGTCCGATCCAGAAGACGGATAAATATATATATATATATATATATATATATATATATATATATATACACACACACAACATTGGAAACCTCAGGGCATGCCACCCGTCCCTTCAAAGAAATAACCCCCAACCCCCCTTCACCGCCTGCTTTTAGAAATGTAATTGTCTAATTGAAATTCACACTACAGCACTAGTCATCAATATATATATATATATATATCTTCAAAATACAGTTGGCGTTGCTCAACTAAATTTACAGTGTGTGAATGCATTACAGTCCGTTACAAAGCTCGTGTATTATGTAACGACACACAAAGCGACGTGACGACTGAACCAATAGAATATCAACTCGTTGTTAAAATCCACCATGCCAGGAGGGACTCTTCAATAGGCAACCGAAAAAAGGAAAAACAACCACTACTCTCTAGTTAATTTCTACTTTTACTAGTCTCCTCGGCGACATTTCTGGCACCTCTGACATTCTCCGGCAAGACCTTCACGCTCAATCAATGCCAATATTGCTTTAGTATTCTCGAAGCGCACGTAAAAGCTCCTCATCTTCCTACCATTGCCTTTGACCCCTACTTGATCGGCCTTATATTTACAGGTCCGTTTTCTTAATTGTTTCGCTTGTGTTTTCTTTTTCAATTCATAGATTTTTTATTTTTTATTTACTGTGTGTGTGTTTGTTTTAATTTTCTTTTTGGTCATTCATTTCTGTTGATGATTTGCAATTCATGCTTTTCGTGCATGGAGGTCACGAATGATGTTTCGTTAGGTGAAAATGTGATCTGGCTGAAATGTGTTCTGTGGATTTGTTATTATTTTTTTCACAAATTAACAAATTTCTAATTGATTTGTGTTTTTTGCATGACATACATACTATATATGTATATGTATCGATGTATATGTGTATATATAAATACACATATATGCTCCATGAAGGTAATTCAGTCCTGACTTAGTTTGAATTCAGTACAGGAATGAACAAAATGCAATATATCCATTTAGATTTTCAGAAATGTCAGTTTAATTTGTTTTTCAGATTAGAAATTAAGAAATATTGTTGCGAACAAAATGCAGTACTGTGGTTTTAACTTTTACTGGCCAAAGTAACTGCCTTCTCCGGCAATGTTTCCAGCACCTCTGACATTTTCCGGGAAGAATTCACTTTCAATTTCCTATACTCTCGTACTCATCACGCTATTGTGGAAGCGCAAGTAAAAGCTCCTGATCTTCCTTTCATCGCAGGTCTTTGATGCCGATTTGATCGGCCTCATTTACTGGTTTCTTTTTCTGGTTTCGTCTGCGTTTATTTTCTCACATTATATACACGAGTTTTGTGCTTTTTTGTTTCTTAATTTTGTTTTTTGTTATTCATTTCTGTGTTAATGCTTCCGAAAATCATGTTTTTCGTGCATGAAATCAGGATTATATTTCGTTAGGCTAAAACTCGTTTTGTTTGCAATGTGTTTATGTTATGTGGATTTGTTGATATTTGTTCTCAAATTAACAAATTTCCAATTGATTTTTGTTTTAAGCATGACATACATGCTATATGTGAGTATATACAGATATTGTATATATAAATGTGTGTATAAGGTGATATATGTGTAATTTTTATATGGTGCTTGGAGAATGTAGTTCAATCCTGAGTTTATCAGTAGAGTTGCAAACATAACGCAGTATGTTAATACAGATTTTCAGAAAATTTTGTTTAATTTGTTTTTTAGGCAAATGATTTCAAAAAATTATTGTTTGTTCTTCTAGGCAATCAAGAATTTACTTTGTTTTATTGAATTTTAACACAAACTCAATTATGAGCCTAATATGTTCGTATGTAAAAATTATTGTTTTGTTCCTTTTCCTTTTTTTTCCAATTTTTTGAGTTTTTATTTTATTGTCATTTTATTTATAAAGTATTACTAGCCCTTAGATTTTTAGATACAATAGAAAATTTTGAGATTGCATAAGTTTTTATTTATTTATTTTAAAATCTTTTTGCAATTTTCTTTTCATTTTCCTTCATATACTGATTCTCTCTCTTCAGATATATATATATATATATATTTTAAATGTAATTCTTAATCTTTCTTTTCAAAACTTGTACTGATTTTTGGCTGACAGTTAACAATTCAGCATCAAAATCTCCTTTCTTAACTACTTGCAATATGTATGATCTCTTCTAAATATTAAATTCACTAAGGTTCTAAAAGATTATATGTTTTCAAACCGATTGTCTACCTATAACATCCCTCCTCATTTATCAGGGATGGTGTTTGGCAGTGTGAGATAAGGAAATGATAGATTGAGTCTGTTGCTGTATTGTTTCACATTAGAATTAATTTTGCTTGAATGTGGAACATAATATTTCACTTTTCTCCAAATTAGACTGGAAAGTAATACTCCACATGATCACCAGCATTGCAAATGAATCTTTTTGTGACAGTGATTTATGTATAATTCTTGGATTGCTGTATCTGATTTTTATGTTCTATTATTCAGCAATGTATAGTATCAAATACCCATTCAGAGGGATTGTTGAAGACTTCAGAGGAAGGAAAGCTTGCTATAAGCAAGACTGGATAGGCGCAATTTGTTCAGGCACCAGGTATTACATATTTTCTTGATGTAGAGCAAAATTTGCATTATTGTGGGCAGTTGATTGGACTTGGAATGTAATCTCAATTCATCAATGTCAGGATTTTGGCTCCAACAGCCTATATCTTCTTCGCTTCTGCTCTTCCGGTTATTGCATTTGGAGAACAGCTTAGCAGAGAAACTGGTCTGTCAGCATTCTAGTTATTTCTATACTTGAGACAACTAACATAGTGCAGAATTATCATGAAATATGTTTGCGCCCACGAATCTAAATCTGCTGATTGCCTTGGATGGTTTTCTGGAGTTATATTTTTCTGCAGATGGAATCTTGAGCACAGTAGAAACTTTGACTTCTACTGCTATATGTGGCATCATACACTCAATATTTGGTGGACAGCCTTTGTTGATATTAGGAGTTGCAGAGCCCACAGTTATAATGTACACTTACCTTTACAATTTCTGCAAAGGAAGGGCAGATCTCGGAGGAGAGTTGTACTTGGCTTGGGCTGGATGGTAACAGGAATAAACCTTCTCATATTTCAGGTCTAAAGTTGGTTAAGATTTTCATTCCTTGATATTATCCTTTGCAGGGTCTGTGTCTGGACAGCTCTCTTGCTCTTTCTTCTTGCCATACTTAATGCTTGCAACATTATCAATAGATTTACGAGAATCGCAGGGGAACTTTTTGGCATGTTGATTGCTGTTCTTTTCATGCAACAGGCTGTTAAGGTACTCTGTCAACATAAAGTTAAACCGTGTAAGGGTTAAAATATGGTTAGTTAACTGCTGAATAATGTCTGAAATACAGGGATTGGTGAGTGAATTTAGGATTCCTAAAGCTGAAGACCCTTATGCAGAAAAGTATAATTTTCAGTGGCTGTATACAAACGGATTGCTGGCAATCATATTCTCCTTTGGCTTACTCTTTACTGCTTTAAAGAGCAGAAGAGCCAGGTCATGGAAGTTCGGCACAGGTTTGTGAAGTGACTTGAGATTTTGGCTTCAAATATGAGTTTTAACTGGAATCTGAACCTTTCTTTTAATAAATTCAGGATGGTTACGAAGTTTTATTGCAGACTATGGGGTTCCTCTCATGGTATTAGTATGGTCAGCATTGTCATTCGGTGTACCTAACAAAGTTCCCTCTGGAGTTCCAAGGAGGCTTTTTAGTCCTCTTCCTTGGGAATCTACATCCTTGCACCACTGGACAGTAGTCAAGGTGAAAATATGCAGCTCCTTTTCCCCTCTTTCCCCTTTCCAAGAAGCTGTTCGTTTTCTGTTCTGTTAATGTCTTTGTGTCCGGGTCCAATCGTCGAAGACATGCCCCCAATATTTGTTTTGGGTCCAAGAACAATTTTATATAATTAGTCTAACCTGAAAGCAAAGGGTTATTTATTTGGTCGTTGATTCAAGCACTATAGACTAAATAGTGCGCAATACACATCTGAATTGCAGGATATGGGGAAAGTCCCCCCGGTATACATTTTTGCTGCCTTCATTCCAGCTGTGATGATAGCAGGCCTTTATTTCTTTGACCATAGTGTTGCTTCACAAATGGCACAACAGAAGGAATTCAATCTCAAGAACCCATCTGCTTACCATTATGACATCTTATTGCTCGGAATTATGGTATAATAGCTGATTCCACATATCTTTTTCTGTCTTCTATTTAATGTTTTGATTCCCCTAAATTCTCTGTAGTGAATTGTGTGTTCCTTTGATCTCTGAAACCATTTTTCAGACCCTGCTGTGTGGATTGACTGGACTCCCTCCCTCTAATGGTGTACTTCCACAATCCCCCATGCACACCAAGAGCCTTGCTGTTCTTAAGAGACAGGTTGGTTCTAAAATTAGAAAGGAACTTCTTCTCTTGGCAACATAATTTGGTTAGATTTTACAAAGTTTGATTACCGTCTGCAGTTGATCCGAAAGAAGATGGTAAAGAGTGCCAAGGAATGCATAAAGCGACAAGCTAGCAACTATGAAATTTACGGAAGGATGGAAAGAGTGTTTATAGAGACGGACACAACTACAACTGTGAGTTCTTTTGGCACATGTTCAAATTACGCAAAAGAATTCACTGAATATGCAATAGAGGTTAACCTTCTTTGGCATTAGGCTTTTACCAAAGTTCCCTTCCAATAAAAAGAAAACAAAGGATTAAATTCACATTGCTTCAATTTCCTTCTTTATATAATGGTAGCTAGTTTGGATTATGCTGCAGCCTGTAGTAGCAAAAGAGCTGAAAAACTTGAAGGAAGCAGTAATGAAAGATGAAGATAGAGGAAACAAAGATGCTAAAATTGATCTAGAAAAGCACATTGATGCTCACTTGCCTGTTCGGGTTAATGAGCAAAGAATGAGCAACATATTACAATCACTTCTTGTGGGAGCATCATTATTTGCCATGCCAGTAATTAAGAAGATACCTACATCAGTTCTCTGGGGATATTTTGCCTACATGGCTATTGACAGCCTCCCCGGAAACCAGTTCTGGGAAAGAATTTTGCTGCTTTTTGTTGCTCCTGGTAGGCGGTACAAGTAAGTTATTTTATTTATCAAAATGGCCTACAGGTTTAGTTAATTCATTAGCTACAGCACTTTGTGACAATTCTTTAACTGAGCAACAGTGTGTAGCCTGAGTACTACTTTCCCCTAACTATATCAATCTCCACTAGTGATGTTGAATTTTCTTCGGCAGAGTCCTGGAAGGGGTCCATGCTGCTTTTGTGGAGTTGGTGCCTTTCAATAAGATTGCAACATTTACGCTATTCCAGTTGGCATATCTTCTAATTTGTTTTGGGGTGACATGGATACCCATAGCTGGAATTTTGTTCCCCTTGCCATTCTTTCTGCTCATAATCATTAGACAGCATCTCCTTCCTAAACTATTTCATCCACATTATCTTCAAGAGTTGGATGCAGCTGAGTATGAGGAAGTAACCGGTGGTCAGAATCATAGTCATGGCGCCTCACCTAAGGTACATTATCTTACCATGTTTACTGTTGGTTTGCCAGGAATTATTATTCCTGTTTTGTTCATGAAATCAATGGTGATTTTGGTGATGACAATGATGAATAATTGACCATCAGAAGCCAATTGCAAAAGATACAATTTCGTTCATTTTTTTTCTTAGCATGTCATATCTATCTTGTTTCCAGATCATATAAAACGAGCCTGGAAATTATATATATGTTATCCTTTGAAAGAACAATGTGATTTCACGAATTGGATGACTCTTCCATTTTGGTGATGATTATGATAACCTAAATATTTGCTGCCAACTTGAGAATTTCTTTGAAGATTGATCCTGTTTCTATTCCATTCTTATGTGTATGTGGTCAAATGCTCTACAGAGTGTCATAAGTATGAATATGTTGTGCAAATAATTAAGGTTCAGAAGACCCAAGCGATGGTATGTATATAAAAAGTTATAGAATTCATACCAGGTGCAAGAGCATGCAGATCTATGTTCAATTTTATAATGTTTCAAAGTGTATATATGTCTTGTAACAAAATCAATTCAAACTATATTTTAATTATTTGTTGACACTGAAATTTTAATCTTATGGTTTTGAAGAATTTATCAAGGTCAGTTTGGTTTTTTAACATGTAATCCGCAATCTGTGATATGTTTTAAAGGAAGGGGAATCAGCTCCTTCAGGGGATGAAACTATAGAAGTGGAGAAGTGTCATTCTGAGATCCTCGACGAGTTGACAACAAGTAGAGGAGAGTTGAAACTTAGATCCAGGAGCTTTAATGAAGAGAGGCTACCTCAGGCAAGATTCTTTTATAACATCATTGTGCACTTGATAAATATAGGTGTACAATACATATGCAATTTGCCACTTATGCACACGGCACAAACAACAGAACCTGCATGTTACGAGCCCCGTAACGAAATTCCAGTTGGAGAATTCTGTAGTAACATAAATGGAATCTAGCAACTCAGGAAAAGAATTCAAGCCTCCTATGCAAATAATGTTAGCTACCATCTCTCCTCTGGTTAATAGTTCTGATAAAGAAAGAGAGAGTAGCTAATAAGAGAAAATCTGTTCTTATTTCCCCCTAAAACATCTGGCATTAGGCCATAGACGCATAAAATATTGCAGAAACATCTATAGACATTCGGTTTTTCATTATACTATTTTGTGCTAGTAGATGTTGAAGATGATGGACGACTTTTGTGCCAATGCAGGTTCATCCCGAGGATGATGTCTCTCAGGAAGAGTGAAAATATGCAGAACGGAATGGACAAATGAAACAAAAAGAAAGTTAAAGGGATGGAAGAATTGTAAAAAGGTGCATACTGCATATAGATCATAGTTCTTTCTTTAAGAGTATAGAGCGGGATTTAGAAATTCAGTGACCATGTTTTTTGGTTAGTTGAAGAATAAAACAAAGAGAAAATATAGATGGAATTAAAAAAATATCATCTGTTATAGATAAAGCTTCTGTTGATACTCTCTGCTTCTCGACTCCATGCAGTCAAATCAAGTCTTTTTTATGAATTGGCCTAAAGATTGCCAACATGAAACATTTGAACTTCTGGTCTGCACTTTACACATTATAGTGGGCGATGTAGCAATATAATGTGACTTTTGATCAATTAATTACAGCTCAAAAGGAATGAGGTAGCTTAAGATATCAAAAACGCTTGGTTATGTCCATTGTATGTCCCGGTCAATATAATATGTCAAAACCAATCTGGCTGGATTTGTGCCTTCTGTCACAAAACATTTAGGACTGCTCGAAGTCATCGAAACTATAAAGATGAATGCACCAGTTGAGGTGTTAATTTTGAAAAGAAAAAAAAAAAAATAAGAATTAAAGAAACATCTTAGGATTCTAGTGTTTGGGATTCTGAATTTGGTCTCCATCACTACCTTTATTCATTAGAATCGATTCTGATGCTATGTCATATTCTTTCATTTCATGGAAGAAAACCATAGTAAACATTATACAATGAACAATAAAAAATTTACAAAGAAAAAGAAAAAAAGGGAATAATATACAGAAATTGTGACATATTAAAAAAAATATGAACAATTATTTAAAAAAGAAAATTGAAAAAGGTGAGCCATCGCCATCTTTTGTAGCAGATCGAACCCAGGACCTCATATTTTGCTCGTGTGGGACTTGGTAGAAGAAACGTATGTTAGCATGCACCTTAAAGGGTGTGGGAGAAAGAATAGGTTAAAACAACCACTGTCCATGCGCACTGCTATCTTAAATCCCCGCCATTTTGGTAATTGGGTTCTTCTGTTCCGCCATCAGTAACAAAAATAAGATGATCACCATCTCTAATCAGCTCTATACCATCAATTTCAGCGCCATCTTTGCATAAAACTTTAGATGGCAAGATCCCATATTTTTTGGTACCAATCTCAAGTAGCTCTTGGAAGCTCTGTGGAAGTACCACAAGCTTTCCCTTGACATCTCCCTTTTCAGGGCAACTAACTATCACTCTAGCGGTGTAATAATTGTTAGTCACAACAGAGGTAGTCTGATTTGCGGCTAAAAGCAAGTCGTTGTCACCACCATGGGCAGCTGACATGATACCAAATAGAGAATTGTGGAAGTTACTAGTCCTCCGCCTTGGACGGGATTTCCCCCATGACCCCTCTACCATTGGGGATGCTCCATCCTGGGAAACACGATTGATTGTTGGCAAGCTTTTAAATCTCCCAAGATAGCGAGTTTCATGTCCTTCTTCTGTGATTGAAACAACAGATTGAGTCTTGGTCTCTTTAGTGGATTGGAAAAGAGTTGTAATATCTTCGTGTCCTTGCTGCTCAGCTAGAGCTCTTGGGCTCCAACCAAGATTATCTGGTTTGTCAACATCGGCTCCTTGCTTCAAAAGGAATTTGACTATCTCAGTGTTGCCTTCACAAACTGCAACATGGAGTGCTGTAGTTCCATTGGACTTGGGACGTGTGACATCTCCTCCATTCCGAACAATTTCCTTGAGCAATTCTAAGTTGTTTTGCTCAGCAGCAGTGCATGCATAAAGACCCACGTCACCAAAAGATATGTCGGCACCATTATCTCTCAGTAGTTTGATCACTGGTTCATGATTAGCCGATATGGCCTCCCATAGTGGTACATTTCCTTCAGAATCTGTATATGTGTAAACAACGTGAGTTGATTAATTCTTAGAATATAATTTAATGAAACAGCTGCAATCGAGAGAATAATGTATGCTTCATTAATATATTAATCCCCAAAATCCTTCCAAAAGTATATTATATATATAGTGTTGCACTTCAGTGAACATTATTGCCCTGAAAATAATTCTAATTCAATTCAACGCCTAGATATTTTAAATGGAAGGGCAATCTATCAGAAGAAGAAAAGGTCAGGCATTATAAATGTTTAAAACAGTATTTAATTACTACAGAAAGAGATAATATTTATAATGCAGAAACTTAAAGGAGAGTTCATGACCATGAGATGGAGGCAGGTGTGACAGTTGACTATGGGTGACACAGTAAGCAAAATGTTCAACCTAATATAATATTGATTTGCTAAAATATGGAATTTATTACTAAAAAAAAACTATCATAGAAAGTCAACATGAATAAAAAACTAGCTATCGATCTATATACTCGAGGACAAATGTAGGTTTTTGACTTGTAATGGCGCTCTACAAAGTATTTAAATGAAAGAAGGGTCACTTTCTCAATTATTGATACTAATATATGAAAGAAATTAGAAGATGTGAGGACAAGAGTCCAAAGATAGGGGCTTAATAGGAATCTTTGTACATTGTACAGACTTCCTGTGAATCATATGATGTATTTTGTGTGAAAATGGTAACTCTCCGAGTATAACAAGGTCAACTGAATACTTGCAACAAAAATGTCACCAATTATATAACAAGAAGTTGAATGGATTATGTAATTACTCGCAAAACTAGGAAGAGCAAATAGGCATACTAAATTGGGAAACAATATACCAGAAATGTGTTCCTAATACAAAAAAATTTAATTAATATCGTAATTTCAGTAGAGAAGGTCATGTTCAAATCCCTGTATGGATCTAAAAAATTATTAATAAATAATAGGGCCAGCTAGAGTTTGCAGCATGAATAAAAATAAGAAGAAAGCCATATATAAAATCAGGAATATCTATAAGATAAAATCTAAAATGGTGTCAAGTACACCTGCAATAATTGAAGTGTACACAGATGCTTAAACAAAATATCTGATTAAAAATAATGGAATATTTGAAAAACAATGGGCAGAAAAATTGCATTAAATAAGTATTGGCTTTGGTGTATGTATTTGTTGAAGGTACCTCTACTATTTGGGTCTGCTCCATAATCCAGTAGGAGGAGCACACAGTTCTCATTTCCTTTGGAAGCTGCTATGTGCTGATCTCGCATAAAACATAGGGAAATTAAGATAATTGCCATCTTCAAAACATAATGCACTAACAAAATGTAGTATCAGTAACAAATACACACCAGAGAGGTCCTTCCGTTATTGTCCGATTCATTTGGATCCAAACCACGCCTCAACAACTGATGCAGCAACAAGTCATCCCCTCTAAGCGTTGCAAAGCATAAGCTAACAGGTAAGTCCATTCTACCACGAGCTAGCATGTTCTCTGTTTCCAGCAAAATTCCCTCCATAATTGGATCATTCAGTCCTTTCAAATGCTACCCCCAAGAAAGCATAACAAGTTAGGTTTGTTATCAACAGAAAGAATGCAAGATATATGCATAATTCCATCCAAGCTTATTTGCTAATTCATATTAAACCTCAAATGTGCTAATTCTAACTGGGTGTATATGATTACAAACCTGAAGGAGATTATTCATTATTATGGTACCATCTCCAACATTGGCCTGAATAATATTCAAGAATGTAGTCCGGTTCAGTCGTAATAGCTGACTCAGCCGTTTGGTCCGCACTGTAAAGAGCTGAGGCCTATAACAAAGAACCCCAATCTCACCACAAAGGTCACCAGTCTTTGCCTCTCCAACATCCTACAATCATTAACCATAATTTCTCTCAGAAATTTCCTTGTTACGGGAACCAGAAACAATGTCTCAATCTCATAGCAACAAGTGGAATAATTATTGTGAAAAGGAATCTTTGCAGCTTGATTATTAGACTTGCCTGTTCAACTCCATTTTTGAGAACAAATAAATCCTGCCAAGTAATTTGAATATCAGAATCAATTGTAAATAGACTAGGGAAAAGAAAAGGAAAAAAAAAAAGCAATGGTCTCAGCTATTCTGTTCAGGGTGACGGGAGGGGGAAGATCAGAGACTATGACATCTACTTCAGGAGGAAGTTTCATAATTACCACAGCTCCATTAACAAGTATGTAGAAGTCTGTTGGAGCTTCATTCTGCAAGATGACATCTTCTTTGGGAGGAAAATACTCAGCTTTCATCTCCGAAACCTTCAAATTTTATAAGCAAAAAAGAGAACAACAAACAACATAAGGAGACACATCTTAGCCAGTAAACTGGTAGGTGTGGTAGCAGTTCTTAGAAGTAATTTGTTACCAGCTGGAAGAGCAAGTCATTGGACACGCCACGAAACAAGTACACCTTGTCCACAAGAGAGTAGAAAAGAACATGTGAGATGCTTGAACGAATAGCTTTTGGAAGGGAATCAAGAGTCTCTTGCTGCTGTAAACCCTCTGAGTCTGTTCGGAACTTCAAACACAAGTGTGCAAGCATCTGATCTTGTAATCGACCTGGCAATTGGTTCCTATGAGCAAAACTTGAGGCTGCTTGTATGGTATCCCTCTGTTTCCGAATAGACAGTCAAAACACTTATTAATAAACACATGACTACACAAACAAGGGCAACAAATATCCGAATATTCATCTATACTGATCTAAGCTTGAAAAAAGATAGAACGATAGGTAAGAGTATATACGCACAAATTTTCTAGTTCTACTAGTGCCATGGACGACCAAGTTGGTCATATTTCCTATCAGATATGCCGTCATTCCAAGGTTGAAGAGCATGTAGAATATATCAAAAACCATCTCTCTTGTATTCTGAGGATGCAAATCTCCATATCCAACAGTTGTGAGAGTAGTGATAGACCAGTACATCGATGTAACATACCGGATCCATATGCTTTGCTGGTGGAAGTTTTCCATTGCTGCTCCAATCCAAGTCTTTGTTGGATCAGGATAATGCGCAGCAAGAAGATAATAGAAGCAACCAGCACAATGAACTGCAAACAGGGTAACCTATAAAAAGCATCCAAACCGAGTAAGATAATGGGCTGCTAGAGAAACCTATTTCTTTCATAATTCATACATGGCAGCCCTCAGATATACTTACAAAAATAAGCTTTGCACATCGAACCCAAAAGTAGTTGAAGTTCCTATCTTTCTCCAATCTGTTTAAAAATATATATAAAGGAGAAACACGATTATATGATGAAATTTTCTTTTAAGTTCAAATGTTTACTGTACTAAACAATATGAGCAACACTGATCTGGTAAACCTTTTTTTTTATTTATGGAAACTGTAGAGGAAAAATTCATTCTACCTGGCAAAAAGGGCACCAACTCTACGGAGACGCCACAGACGAAGCATGCTGAACAAGCCATATGACAAGAAACCTGATGGGAAAATCTTCCGAGCAAGTTCGGAAGGGATTGTGGATATGACATCAAGTGCCAACCAAGTTCTTCCATACCTCCAAGCAATCTTCTTTGGATCATCAACAAGGAGGTAAGTAGTTCTATCAAGGTAAGCTACAAAGAAGGTAAGAATGATATCAATGGCAAAGAATCCATTGACAATATTATCAGTAATGGACAGTGGTCTCTGCGGCTTTTCAAGGAAACCAAATTCAAATGGAGACACCCAAGCAGTATAGAGGACTAGAACAACCAGAAATGTCTCCCATGTCCTGCATAAATCAGTTCAATCATGAGCTAAGTTCAGCAGGAAAAATAAAATATCTAATTACGGTAGAATGATAAAAAAAAATTAAAAAAAAAAAAAAAAACTTTCTGATATGTCAAATTCGTTACCGGGAGTCTGCATGACTATATCCTCCATTGCTACAATAAGTTCATGCCTCTATAACAAATACCGACTAAAATTGTGACTATAGAACAAAAATTATCAACTAAATGTGGTGGTAAAACAGTATGTCTTGGCAATAACATACCCACATGTCCCGACCTTGTTTTGTGGGTTTCTAGACATGGGTTCCTCTAATTCGGGATTCAGTCAAACCTCTTCCCATCAAGAACAATCAATAAAATAAAATAATATAAAAATGGGAAATGAAAGAAGACGAATAAAACAATCATATAAACAACTTCTAAAGCAACAAACTGTTTCTGCAAAGAATTCAACCACTTGGACCACACAATATAGTGTTACTTAAGTAGAAGTTAGAAAATCTTTTTGGCATCCGTAAATACATAAAAAGAATCCTTCAAAACAAAAAATGTACAAGAAGAGTGGTGAGAAAAAGAAAAAAAAATTAAATTAAATTATCCATTAAAAAAAAAAAAATCATTCGTGAAAAGTATAAATAAATAGCAATAAAATAAGATTAAAAAAAAAACAATAATTGAATATGAGGTCAATATAATCAGCATAAAATAATTGGGAAATAAAAATGAAAAATCGACAGACAGAGAGTTTGAAATTGTGCAAATCCCAGAAGAATCCAGAAACACAGAGAGGAGAGAGATAGTCTGGTTTGTTGCAGAATTCTAGACACGCAGACGTGTACAGTGACATTCAAAACCCTTATGTTTCATTTGATCAGAGTAATTGAAGGGTCAAAAATATACAAAGGACAGAATATTCATATAGATGAAAAGTACAACATGAAAAGGGATGTTTCAATTTCAAAGCAGTCAATCAGAAGATACCAAAGCCTCCAATTAGGAAAATTTGTTGTCTGGTGATCTGTCCAGTTTTACCATGCAAAACCCAAATTAAAATATGTGGAGAAGCGAAATTAAGTTACCAATAGATGAAAAGTAAAAAAAATTAAAAGACAATTAAAATGCGGATTAACTATATATTTTTGACATAGAACCATTAAACCAAATGAGTATGAAAAGTAAATACCAGATTGTGGGGAAAGATTTACAAGATTCCAACAACAACAAAACTCTGGGAGAAAGTGAAACAGAGAGAATGTATGAACAAGTAGCTTCGAAACAAAAGAAACAGGACACTATTTAATACTTGTATATTACTAACTAGTCATCACAAGATTCATTTCCGTGTTCCTCATATATATCCAATACTGGACAAATGGGATCAAACAAACAGCAGGAAAGAGAAGTGATAAAAAGACAACTTCACAAATATATATATATATATATATATATATATATATATATATATATATATATTATATAGAGAGAGAGAGAGTATGTATATATAGTGAAGGAATGGGAAGTAGGTACCTGTAGCGGCGGTCATAAGGGGAAACGATGAAGGTGCGAAGCTTAACTCGGCGGTTACTTCTGGCGCCAAGAGAAGGAAGAATCCCAGTGGAGAGACTGTAATGGCTTCCCTCTCTGGACAACTGTTCGATTTCTTGTAGTTGTTGAGCACCACACATTGAAACCCCAAACACCCCTCCTCCTCTGTTACTACTGCACATCATGTCTGCCATTATTATCAACCACCCACCACCACCAAGCTCTATAGAAAATACTTTACTTTGTTAGTTGTTTCCGTTTTTCCTCTCTCTCTCTCTCTCTCTGCTCTCGTGCTCAGCTCTATATATATATATAAGTATATTATCAGGAGAAGGATAGATAAGAGAGTCAAACACTCTCTCTCTTATATAATTTAAATATACAGTATTAATAGTAATTTTTTATTTTCACTTTAGTGTTGCCCCTACTACCTTCGCTTTCAAGGACTCTTTTGCCCTTACACGTGTATGCGTTCGAACGCGCAGACTACTTTCCCCGTTTTGGATCTGTTCAATTGTCACGAGATTGTGAATTGAAGATAGCATTATTTAATGCCAATTAGCCAGTTCTGTGTTCGATGGTTGACAAATGTTAATAGGCTTCATAATAACTTCGTTCAAATTAGAGAAAATTACATATAAATAGGGTTAAAGTTCCATATTTACTTAGAGGCTGAGTCAAAGTTTCATATTTTTCTAAAATGGATTGCTGAAGTGGCACATGGTTTTTTACTATTTAGAAATTGTGATGCCTAAAATACCCTTCCGCGAAGGTACTACTTTTTCTTCAAAGGTACTACTTTTTTGAACTGAAGGTACTACTTTTTGGCGTCCAGGTACCATGTTTTTTAAACACTCGCGAAGGTACTACTTTTTCTCCGAAGGTACTACTTTTTTGAACTGAAGGTACTACTTTTTTATTAGGGAAGGGCATTTTAGGCACCACAATTTTTTAAACAGTAAAAAATCATGTGCCACCTCAGCAATTCATTTTAGAGAAATATAGAACTTTGACTCAGTCTCTAAGTAAATATGAAACTTTGACTCCATTTATATGTAATTTTCCCTTCAAATTATATAGCAATCATTAGAGAAAATGTTAAATTCCCATTTCGTCAGTCCTTCTAATATATTTAGACTAAGTAATTTTTTTAATGAAAAAAAAAATGAAATGAAATAATTGGCTTTTAAATTTATGATATCTTGGAAAAATGACAAATGCAATCTCCTCCTTTCTTTCTTTTATTTTTTTTTTTTTAAAAATAAAATAAATAACATAAATGTCTTTTATACTCTATTAGCATGAATTTAATCATGAACAATAATATCATTTCATATTAATGGAAGTGGATTCATCACCTCATTTGTTTTGTTAGAGAAAGTGTTGATGGTATTTTTTTGCCTCCAATTTCATAATTTTTCTCTCCACTTAATTTTTAATGAATAAAATGGCACTTATGCCCATATAAATATACTTATTATGGTTTGGAAGCTCAACAACTCAAATTTGATTTTAATTCCCGTGTAAATCCAGCTTGAGTTTTTTCAAAACACTTTTCATATGATGTTTCATTTTTTAATTATCATAAAATTATTCATTCAAAACTCTCAATAAAAAATCATGTGGGGCCTCTCTTTTTTGTCAACCCAATCCTGATCGGCGAATTGTATCTAACATTGTAGTTGACTTTTCGTACATTTATTTGACCATCCATTATCGTATTATATAATGAATTTAAAAATCAATAATTTGTCTATTTGGTTGCAAAAGTAATTAAGGAGCTTTTATGAATGTCAAATTTATTCCGTCCACAATTAAATGATTCTTAATGGCAATGTAACTGCCTAACTGCGATTTTCCAATTTTTTATATCTTTGTCCTAAACAATTTTTTTTCCATTTTCTATATTTTACTTGTATCACTGAAAAAAGAGTTGACAAGGAGAAAACAGAATAAGAAAATAATTGACTGCTAATATAGATACTTAATTTGATCTTTATTGATTAATCTAAGTTTGGTTAGATAAATATTATTACTGGAAAGGGCAAAAAAAAAAGAAAAAGTGAAAGAAAGAAAGTAAAGTGACTGAAAGATAAAGTAATTTATTAGCATTAATTTAATTAGCATAAATAATTCTTGAGAAAATTGTGAAAAATTAGCATTTCATTGTGTGTGTGTGTTTTTTTTTAATTTATATAAAAAAAAATAAAAACCAATTCATTGTTTGGATACACATGAAAGTTACAAAAGAAAAATATTATGATTTACTTAAATTGTCCTTGTTTTCTTAAATAGATAAATAGGTCTAAATAAATTTGTATTGGAAAGATATTATTGATTTATTTTCAAGAAAATAAAAGTAAACTAAAAATAATTTTTGTGGGAGATTTGGGTAGAAATATAGGCAATTATATATCTTCTTCTTTTTTCACTGTTAAATCATTAAGTCGGGCATAAACACATCACATTCATTTTAAACAAAACAAAAAAGGACATAAATGTAAGTTCATATAACTTTCTCAAGATAAGCATTTTTCTTTAGGAAAATACTTATGATAAATTTAGGTGATTATGATTAATTAATTTTATCTAAGGTTTATTATAAAGTCTCTGCTTGCTAATACACCATTGAACATGGAAAGCAATATCCCATTACACAAGTAAATGCTAAAGCAGAATGTTAGTACACATGCACGAACAATATATATATATTTTAGTCACACACACACACACATATATATATGCTCCCGGTAAAAAACTTGACTTCTCAACCATTCTTTTGGAAGGAAATGAACAAACTATTCAAGCCAAGGCATTGGTGGTGAGAAAGAAAAAAAAAAAAATGTTAAATAATTGTGTACATTAAAATTAAAATATAGGATAAATTGTGCAGTCCTTTTTTGAGTTTCAAACAAATTACACACAAGTAGCGTTTGGTTTTTATTACTTTAACCACCCCAGAGATTTAGTTATGAATTCAAAAAATGACTTAGTTGTCATTTGATCAATAACTTTAAATTTTGACATGAAATGACAAAAATACCATGAAATGCAAAGTATTAACTTTCATAACAATTTTATATTATTATTAAAAAAAAAATTCTTAATGACATTTGATTAGGTTTTTCTTTTCAAAAAAAAAAAAAAAAAAAGAAGATAAGGTAGTATAATGTTTACAAGATTGGAAAAATAAAAAATAAAAATGTGATAGTCTCTTTGTTTGACAAATTTTTTATCTTAAAATATTATTAAATTAAATAAAGGTATGAAAGACATTTTACACTTTAAAAACTAAAAATAATAAAGACCAAACGGTATAATTTTTTCAAACCTCATAAGAGGTCAGTAGTATAATTGATCCTAAAACATATATATAATCCATTTACACAATTACACTTGGTGTTAAGATAATTTTATTTCATTGTTTTGTGAGGCTTCAAAGTAAAGGTACGCTTAATTTGTAATTCTGAAAACAGTCATAAAAAATTCAGAAAACAAATAACAGTTTTCAGAGAGTTATAAAAGGCTGTACTCTAAAAACATGTCTTTTATAACTGAGTTTTTACAAAATAATTTTCAAAAAACTGAATCAAGCAGAATTTTTTTTGTATAATTTTTTATTTTAAATTTTTTAAAAACAAAAAATTATTTTGATAATTACAAACTAAGTGTTCTTTGTCCTCGTGTGCAAAACCATTACGCAGTTCATGGCTTGACTAGTTGGGCTGCTCAGAACGAAAAAGGAGAGGCTGACTGAAATGTATGGGCCCAATGGTCGTTGGAGTCTTTGAATGTTAATTGTAATGCTTTATGATCAATAAAAATTTTGCCTGTTTTTTTAAAAAAATAATAATAAAATGGCAAAGTTTTATTCTAATATTAACAGAGAGAGAAATATGGTTCATAAATTAGGCACGTATTTGTATCAAATTTATTATATATTTGGTATACATCAGGGACAAGATAAAAGTATATAATTTATTAATTTAATTAGTTATTTTATCATTACTATTTACCATATAGTAGTATCTTCTGAATCTCTTAAAGTAAAAGACAAGGATAAGTTATGGAACAAAGTGAATAAGTAAATTATTTGAGAGACAAAAAAAATACAAACAAAATATTTACATTATTTTATTTAGAAGTGGAAGTTTTCTTATAGTTTTGCTCGATTTGATAAGAAATATGGCGAGAAGACACAAAATATGAAAGACAATGCTATTATAGTATGCTATTTAAAATTTTCTTTATAATTATCACTTTTTCTTCTCTTCTCTTATAAGAAACAGAATAAGATATTATTTTCATTCTCTTCTCTAATTCAATTTTTTTTTCCATTATACCAAACGGAGCATTCAATTTAGAACAAAAAAAAATTCAGAAGAATTGATCTTGCCAGGAATGTGCTCTGCAACAATAATTTAACACATAATGGTACCCTGTAAATTGTGAAAGTGATACTTTTTCACCCCAAACTTGATTATCCAAGGCAGAAGGTTGTTGAGAAAATATAATTAAATAAGAATAAGTGGGCAACAAAGACTATGGTAATTGGGTGACTAGATTTTGCAGAATATGATGGATGACTTCCCAAAAGAATAGCAATTTAAATGTGAAATGAAAGCACTCCAACATTTTCATCCTGTATATCTATCTTCCTTTTGTTTAAAAGCACTTATCTTTTGAAAAAATGACTATACCAATAACCTTTTTGAATGGGAACTTTGAGAATCTGAAACTATATACATCATTCATGACAGCATATGAATAAGGAAGCAGTGACATGAATGAAATGTAGAAAGAAGCATGGTAGAAGTTGTCTGTCCTTGAGAATAGTAAGTATAAGTATGCCGCCAAAACAGTGAAAATAAAGGAAAGTTATAAGTTGTAGGCTGGTCATCCATGGGTCTTCATTTACTTTTCCTTGTCTTTCCTCCAAGGATCTAAATTTGCATGTGGGTTTTGGTCATATCAGACTTTTGTCTACACCGCTATTGCATGATTTTGTCCCAATCTGCTTTTCAAAACTAGGGAATTACTGTTGGGGGCAAAGACGAAGCAAAAGGAGGGGAAGAAAAAATTTGATTAGGGGGCATAATAAACATGAAAAAAAAATATCTAATCAATGAAGACAAAGTACATAAGTCTAAGAAGAAGAATTTTTTTGGAGAAAAAAATATTAAAAGCAAAGAAGAAGAAAAAATAATAAACAAAAATATGGGAGAACTTTGAAGGAAAAAAATTGTAGTTTAATTGAAGATAGGGTTCATTTGAAGAG